AAAAAACGGTCACGAGTGACTTTTTCAGTCCCGTCGTAACTGCAAACGGTCCCTAAACGAATGGTTGTTAAATCAAGGACTAACTCTTACTAAAAATGTCATCTCGGTCAAACTGGCGCTGAGCTCCTAGGATGGAAAGAAGACCACCAATAGCATTTCTTTTCAGTAAGAATTCAGAAATGGGCCAACCCAATTTTTCCTCCTAGATCAGTGTTTCTCAACCTTGGAAGCTTGAAGACGGGTGGACTTCAACTCCCAGAATCCCCCAGCCAGCGTTGCTGGCTGGGGGATTCTGGGAGTTGAAGTCCACCCGTCTTCAAGCTTCCCAGGTTGAGAAACACTGTCCTAGATATTTTGCCGAGCTTCCAGCCTGGGATCACTCAGCAAACAAAGATTTTGAGGCTCCCTTGTGGTCATAAATTGAGAACTACCAGTAAGTTACACAACCTCTAGCAAAGCTACTCACCCCTGACCTTCCAATCTCTCCTTCATTCACGTCCTCGGTCAGCCATTCCCAACCTGTTTTCACCATCAATTCTGTCCCTTCTCCAGCATTTTCCTGACCGGTCCAGCTCCACGTCCCTAAGTCTTGTAAGTTGCACAGACATAGAATGGGACACGGGAGGGAAGGCACGCTGCTTTGGGTATGTGTAGTTTAACGAAAAGAAGGATCAGGGGTGACATGATAGCAGTGTTTCAATATTTGAGGGGCTGCCCCGAAGAAGAGGGGGGGTCAAATTATTCTCCAAAGCACCAGAAGGCAGGAGAAGCAACGGATGGAAACTCATCAAGGAGAGAAGCAACCTGGAACTAAGGAGAAACTTCCTAACAGTGAGGACAATGAACCAGTGGAACTACTTGCCACCAGAAATCGTGGGTGCTCCATCACTGGAGGTTTTTAAGAAGAGACTGGACAGCCACTTGTCTGACATGGGATGGGGCAGTGATGGCTAAGCTTTTTGGCGTTGTGTGCCAAAAGCCAGAGCCTTGGTAGTACAGTGGTCTAAGGCACCCTGTTATTAAGACCAGCTGCCTGCAATTACTGCAGGTTCGAATCTCGCCAGGCTCAAGGTTGACTCAGCCTTCCATCCTTTCTAAGGTAGGTAAAATGAGGACCCGGATTGTGGGGGCAATAAGCTGACTTTGTATAAATATACAAAAGGACGAAGGCTATTGCTTAGCGCATTGTAAGCGCCCTGAGTCTCCGGAGAAGGGCAGCATATAAATCAAATTAAAAAAAAAAAAAAGCGAGCGCACCTGCGCACGCCTGCACCCATAATGCAATGCGCATGCAACATCCAACCCACTCCGCATGCCCCACCTCCCATGCACGACCAGCCCCCCCGTGCATTTTTGGCTTCCAGGTTGGAACAGGCCCAGAACAGGATGCGTGGTGGCATCCTGGACCAACCTGGAAGCCAAAACGGGGCGCAGGGGCACTGCGCGAGGCCCCAAAATGCAATGCGAGCGCCCCGCCACGTACATGCCATAGGTTCACCATCACGGGTATAGGGTCTTCTGCCTGAGCAGGGGGTTGGACTAGATGACCTTCAGGGTCCCTCCCAACTCTACTATTCTGCTTTAAGCCTCTTTGGAAAGGACAGGGAAAAAAAAAAGAAATATAAAAAGCCAACACAGGTAGTCCTTGACTTACAACAGTTCGTTTAGTGATATTTCAAATTTACAACGGCACGGAAAACTGACTCAGGACCGTTTTTCACACTTTATGCGGCAATATATCCACTTAGGGACTGTGGCAGCATTCCCATGGCCACGGGATCCAAATTCAGGGGCTTGGCAACTGGTTCATATTTATGACGGTTGCAGCGTCCCAGGGTCACGTTTTGCGGCCTTCTGACAAGCAAAGTCAAGGGGGGAAAGGCAGACTCACTTAACGACAGTGTTACTGACTTAACAACTGCAGTGATTCCTTGAACAACTCTGGCTAGCCCAGTGTTTCTCAACCTTGGAAGCTTGAAGATGGGTGGACTTCCACTCCCAGAATCCCCCAGCCAGCGCTGCTGGCTGGGGGATTCTGGGAGTCGAAGTCCACCCATCTTCAAGCTACCAAGGTTGAGAAACACTGGGCTAGACCGATTGTAAAATGGAGCAAAACTCACTTAACAAGTGTCTTGCTTAACAGCAAAAGTTTTAGGCTCAATGCTGGCCGTAAGTCGAGGATGACTTGTAAAAAGCACCTTAAAAAACCCCTCAAAACCATTGCAAAATTTCTCTTTTCGTGCCCCCTTTTCCAGTTAGATTTAAAGGCAATCCTCGAGTTACAATCATTCATTTAGCAATAGTTTTAAGTTACAATACGGGCCTGGTGGCTCAGCAGACTGATAGCATTGTGATTAACACCAGCTGTCTGCAATTACTGCAAGTTCGAATCTCGCCAGGCTCAAGGTTGACTCAGCCTTCCATCCTTTCTAAGGTAGGTAAAATGAGGACCCAGTTTGTGGGGGCAATAAGCTGACTTTGTATAAAATATACAAAAGGATGAAGGCTATTGCTTAACGCATTGTAAGCCGCCCTGAATCTCCGGAGAAGGGCGGCATATAAATCAAACTTAATAATAATAATAATAATAATAATAATAATAATAATAATAATAATAATGATGATGATGATGATGATGATGATGATGATGATGATGCTGGGGGGAAATGACTTATAATCATCACACCAGCACCAGGATAACAGCATCAACATTTGGACACATGACAATTAAGTGTATATTTACAACTGTTGCAGCCTCTCTGAGTCACATGATCATTATTTGCGAGGCATAGTAACTCTTGGGCTGAGAGGGAGGGGCTGGCCCAATGTGTGCCAGGGAGCACTGAGGCCTAAAGTTTGGCCTAGTAGTGGCTAGAAGGCAGGAGACGGGGAGATCTAGTTGTGCCTTAGAAGGAAAGCCAGCTGGGTGACTTTGGGCCAATCACCGGGAGATTGGGAGTTCTAGTCCTGCCTTAGGCATGAAAGCCAATTAGGTAACTTTGGGCCAATCACCAGGTGAAAGTGAGTTCTAGTCCTGCCTTAGGCATGAAAGCCAATTAGGGGACTTTGGGTCAATCACTGGGAGACTGGGAGTTCTAGTCCTGCCTTAGGCATGAAAGCCAATTAGGTAACTTTGGCTCAATCACCAGGTGAAAGTGAGTTCTAGTCCTGCCCTAGGCATGAAAGCCAGCTGGGTGACTCTGGGCCAATCACTGGGAGACTGGGAGTTCTAGTCCTGCTTTAGGCATGAAAGCCAGCTGGGTGAACTTGGACTAGTTCCTTTTGCTCAACCCAATCCACCTCACAGGGTTGTTGTTGTTGTTATGGAGAAAATAGTAGGAGGAAGGTGTGTTGGATATCTCCTCTGAGTTATTTGTAGAAATAATAAAGGCGGGATACAAATAAATAAATAAATAAAGGTGGATAGAGCCAAACCTCCCTGCGCCTACACCAGCCACTTATTCTCTGTTCTAGCAATCAAAACACTTGTCAGCTCCATAAAGACTCCAATATCCATCATTCCCAGCGACCACAGCCTGCGTGCAGGCAAGGTGAGGCTTTCCATTACAACCACAACAAGAAATGAAACGCCAAGAGCAAATTCTGGGGTTCCAATCTGACACCACAAGCAAGGGAATGCGGGCTGGCCGGGGATGATGGGAGCTACCACCGATTAAAACATTCAGGGCAGGGGACGATGGGCATTTGAGGCAGAGTGGCGTCCTATTCCATGGAGGAGCACCCAAGGCTGGAAAAGGGCAGCGGCAGGGATAATGGGAACTATCTCGAAGCTCATGAAGCGGGGGGAAAAAATAGGGATAGGGGTTGGGGATTATGGGATATGGCACCCAGATGAATATGGACCACCCAGAGCCAGGATAGGAATTGCAAGTGAAGCAGCAAAAATATGGGGTAGAGTCGGAGGGGGGTGGTGAGGTTGGGGATGATGGACTCCCATCCTCCCCAACCTTTACATCTAGAGAGGTTCTGGGGGAACGTGAGGTTGGGGACGATGGGCTCCCATCCTCCCCAACCTTTACATCTACAGAGATTCTGGGGGAGCCTGAGGTTGGGGACGATGGGCCCCCATCCTCCCCAACCTTTAGATCTACGGAGATTCTAGGGGAGCGTGAAGTTGGGGACCATGGGCTCCCATCTTCCCCAACCTTTACATCTACAGAGATTCTGGGGGAGCGTAAGGTTGGGGACGATGGGCCCCCATCCTCCCCAACCTTTACATCTACGGAGATTCTGGGGGAGCATGAGGTTGGGGACGATGGGCCCCCATCCTCCCCAACCTTTAGATCTACGGAGATTCTGGGGGAGCGTGAAGTTGGGGACCATGGGCTCCCATCTTCCCCAACCTTTACATCTACAGAGATTCTGGGGGAGCGTAAGGTTGGGGACGATGGGCTCCCATCCTCCCCAACCTCTAGAGATTCTGGAAGTGGGTGAGGTTGGGGACGATGGGATCCCATCCTCCCCAACCTTCACACCTACGGAGATCCTGGGGGAGCCTGAGGTTGGGGACGATGGGAATTGTCATCCCAGGAACAAAACACACAAGGCCGGGGAAAGGAATAAAACAAGGAATACATATATATAGACAGGGCTGCCGTCTGGGTGTCGAATGGATATAAGATATGGAGAAAGGGGGGGGGGAGGGGAGGGCTACTAATACAAGGGGGGGGCTGCTGCTGTGGACGATGGGAGGTGTAGTCCCGGCGCACGTGCCCAGGACCAGGCCTGGCGGGGAGCGATGGGAGGTGTAGTCCGGCGGCGCCTCAGCATGCCTCGAGCGCAGGGGGTCCGTTTGCTTCCCCTTCGGCCTCCCTTCCCCCACCTCACCTCCTCGACCTGTCAAGATTGCCGCCCACCCCCCCCAGCCGGCCTCGCCCCCCCGCCTCTTCCGCCCCCCCCTTTTCCTCTCCCCCCCCCTCCCGGGAGGCCGAAAGTGCCCCGCCCGTGAAGGAACCGCGCCGGGCCCGGCTTGGCCTCACCTCATCCTACAATTCCTCGTCGGCGTCGGTGGCAGCGAAACCTCCTCCTCCTCCTCAGCCGCCGCCGCCATCTTGGCTCCCCCCCCACACACATACACCCGAGGCTCCGCCCCCTTTCTCCCCTCGCCCTCGCGACGCGGGTCCTGGCAGCACCGCCGACGCCCTTTCGCCGATTTCTTTTAAAAAAAAAAAAAACCTCACCGCGGGCAGCGCTCTAAATTCTCCCGTCAGGCTCATCCGGATGACTCTCGCTCTCGGTTTAACTCTTCGAATTCCATAGGAAGCGCGGGGACCGATTCGACCGTAGGAAAATTCACTACACCCCTTCCAGGACCGTGCGGCACCAATTAAGGGAACTCTACGGCGGGGACGCTTCTGTGGGAAAGTGGGGGGGAAAGAGTCCGAGAGGCGCGCTGGCCAATAGGGATGCAAAGGTGGAGGGGGCGTGGTCCCGAGCACCCAGCCAATGGGAGGGAGCAACTCAGGCGGCCTCTGAGGTGAAGGCGATAAGGGCGGGGGGGGGCTTCGTAGGGACCTGGTGGACTATAGACGTAGGAAAAGGGTAGAGAGATACGTGCGAAAGATATTGCGACACGCCCCTCTAGAAAACTTGCTTTTGGCAAAAAATTCACTTTATTTTCCCACGCTTGCCAGCTCTACATTGAAGACTTGTATTTGCTTTTGCTGATTATTATTTTTAAAATGGTGCCCGTTTCATCAAAATAAAGGAAGACTTTTTTAAAAATAATAATAATAATAATTAAAATAACTCTTTGCTATACAGTCGACTAGAAATAAAATTATTCTTTCTGGAAAAAATATTGCAATTGTTGCTTAACCTCTTTAAATCCATGGGAGGCTCTAATTTCTATTCCCCGGGATAATAAACAAAAAAATGGCTTTTTCTGTAGGCTTTGCATTTGTATCCCAGCAAGAGATAACCCTCTTAGCTTTTCTAAATCTATGGGCTGGATACTTCCGGCTCTTCCCGCGGATGACGTCACGGCCAATCAGAGAACAGAAACGGTGAGCAGCCCTCCCCAACGCCTTTGGAGGGCGGGAAATCAGTCCCTCTTTCAACCAATTAGAATAGAGCATTCTTGCCTGAAGTTAATTAAGAAATCAAGACAAGGAAAAGGGCGGGGCAAAGTCTCCTGGAATTAAAGGGCAACTTAATTTAATTGGCCCTTAATTGGAATTCAGCAAAAACTCTTTTGCATAACGTTAATTATATGGGTTGGTTTGTGTTTAGCAACTTGCCAAAAGATTTTGCCTTCACTCTTACCCATATTGGCAAGTTCAAACACAACACAAGTATTTCATCCACCATGCTACTCTGTAGCCAAAATTTACAGTATTGCCAAAAATTGCCAAAAAATACAATATTGTACATCTTGGCAACGTAAAGATCTGTGGACTTCCATTCCCAGAAATCCCCAGTAAACTTGGGGAATTCTGGGAGTGGAAGTCCACCCATTTTGAAGCAGGCTGGCTGGGGGATTCTGGGAGTTGAAGTCCACCCTTCTTAAAGCATGGCTGGCTGGGGAATTCTGGGAGTGAAAGTCTACTCTTCTTAAAACATGGCTGGCTGGGGAATTCTGGGAATGGAAGTCCACCCTTCTTAAAGCAGGTTGGCTGGGGAATTCTGGGAGTTGAAGTCCACCCTTCTTAAAGCATGGCTGGCTGGGGAATTCTGGGAGTAGAAGTCCACCCCTCTTAAAGCATGGCTGGCTGGGGAATTCTGGGAGTAGAAATCCACCCCTCTTAAAGCATGGCTGGCTGGGGAATTCTGGGAGTAGAAGTCCACCCATCTTAAAGCAGGCTGGCTGGGGGATTCTGGGAGTTGAAGTCCACCCTTCTTAAAGCATGGCTGGCTGGGGGATTCTGGGAGTAGAAGTCCACCCCTCTTAAAGCATGGCTGGCTGGGAGATTCTGGGAGTAGAAGTCCACCCCTCTTAAAGCATGGCTGGCTGGGGGATTCTGAGAGTGGAAGTCCTCCCTTCTTAAAGCAGGTTGGCTGGGGAATTCTGGGAGTTGAAGTTCACCCCTCTTAAAGCATGCTGGCTAGGGGATTCTGGGAGTGGAAGTCCACCCTTCTTAAAACAGGCTGGCTGGGGGATTCTGGGAGTGGAAGTCCTCCCCTCTTAAAGCATGGCTGGCTGGGGAATTGTGGGAGTGGAAGTCCATCCCTCTTAAAGCATGGCTGGCTGGGGAATTCTGGGAGTGGAAGTCCACCCCTCTTAAAACATTATGGCTGGGGAATTGTGGGAGTGGAAGTCCATCCCTCTTAAAGCATGGCTGGCTGGGGAATTGTGGGAGTGGAAGTCCACCCCTCTTAAAGCATGCTGGCTGGGGAATTCTGGGAGTGGAAGTCCATATGTCATAAAGTTGTCAACGTTGGACACCCCTGGTTTACAGGGATAAGGAATGTGATTCAAATTATCGAACGCTATGAATCTTCAGTTGTTTTCATCAACATCGTACAACTGAGAAGGAAAATGTAGTTAGGCTCTTCTATGATGACATTTAAACAATTTGCATTGCACAAGGAAAGTGTATGTGTAATATGAACTGATCATTCAGCTCCAACCACATATATTTGGGTGGAACACCTGATGGGCTGCCTGATAAAATAAAGCCAGGTCATGGCACACGCTTGAAAGTAGATCAGGAAGGCTGTAATTTTGGAAGGTGTCTGCCAAGAACAAAGAATGCTACAGGAAATATGCATGTGTAAAGCTTGTAACAATTCTGGGTAGTTAGAAAGTTGATAAAAGTAACAAGAGTTAGACAACTTGCAGGCCTCAGTTAAAAATTAGGAATACAGATGGCCTGCAGCCAATAAAATGTGTATTAGATAACTCCTGGGACATTCATTAGCCAAGGTTTAGGAATAGGGACAGCTGGAGACCAATAGAACAAATTGTAGTATTATTACTAAAATGTTTATTAGATGATACAGTAATATTTCTTACTATCTCGCCTTGTCCTGCCTTCTCTTGTAGTGAAAATGTATAAAGCTTTCTTAATCCTTTGTTCTTGGTTCTTGGCATTTTGGCCAGGAGATTTTAATTGATATTAAAATGGATCTTTGAATGGCTCGATCCAATAGAAACAGATCTTCTCAAACCTTTTAGATTCAGGATATTTTTACAGTCTTAAAACAAACAGTGGACCCCATTGGTTAGAACAGGACATAGATCCCATATCAAGCAATAACACAGGACACAAGGAAGATTTACAGCTTTATACACCCTACACGTCATCCTCGACTTCTGACCACAATTGAGCCCAACATTTCTCAATTTTGCAAAGCGAGACAATTGTTAAGTGAGTTTTGCCCCAATTTTGTACGACCTTGTTCTGTTCTGTTCTGTTCTACTCTACTCTAATTCTATTCTATTTCCTATCCTATCCTATCCTATCCTATCCTATCCTATCCTATCCTATCCTATCCTATCCTATCCTATCCTCTATTCCATTCCATTCCATTTTCTATTCCATTCCATTCCATTCTCCTTCTCTCATTCTGTCCTGTCCTGTCCTGTCCTGTCCTGTCCTGTTCTATCCATTTGTAAAGACTTGAAGCTTCTGCTTGAGGCTATGGAAGGAAAACTGGAGCTGCTTTCCGCCTTTGTTAAGATTTTTCTCCATTTGTCCTTTGGGGAAATATAATATTCTGCCTCTTTTAATATTCCCCAAATATTTCATTCTCTGAGGGGTGGGAGTGGGGGCTTCCCACACTGGGATAAGGGGAATCAAAACTACTTTTTGTGCCATCCGGTGAGAGCCGCAGGCCGTTCCAAGCTCATGAAATGAAATGTGATGCCATCCAGCCCGACGGTTATTGAAACAATTTGTTTTGAATGTAATTGGACAATTAAGATACCTAGGAGAAAGGGATGCGGTGGCTCAGTGGCTAAGACACTGAGCTTGTCGATCGAAAGGTCGGCAGCTCAGCGGTTCGAATCCCTAGCGCAACGTAATGGGGTGAGCTCCCGTGACTTGTCCCAGCTCCTGCCAACCTAGCAGATCGAAAGCAGGTAAAAAAATGCAAGTAGAAAAATAGGGACCACCTTTGGTGGGAAGGGAACAGCGCTCCGTGCGCCTTTGGCGTTGAGTCTTGCTGGCCACATGATCACGGAGACGTCTTCGGACAGCGCTGGCTCTTCGGCTTTGAAACGGAGATGAGCACCGCCCACTAGAGTCGGGAACGACTAGCACATATGTGCGAGGGGAACCTTTACCTTTACCTTTAGGTGGGAGAAGGAAAAAGTGAACCAGATGCTTTGGGTGCAAATCTTCAGATCCGGCTTTGCCTCATTGTAACCACTTGGCTTTAGCAAACTGTACTTTTGTTAACACTGGATCAAGAGTCTTTTTTTCCTAACTGACTTAAATTGGGATACTTGGAGTAAACTGATCAGGAAAAGATATTCAGACAGCTGCACAACAGTTGACTTTAAAGCTATGCCTAGCAAACAGAGGACATATCCCGTTTTAGTCTATTTATTAAGATTTTTATCTCACCTTTATTAGTTTATAAATTATTGGAGGTGGTAAACATGTAATGCTCCTTCTTTGGCTTATGATGCTGAAAACAACCACCCTGTGAGGTAGCCGCTTGGGCTGAGAGTGTGTGATTAACCGTAAAGTCACCCAAGCAGTTTTCACGGCAGAACTATAACTCACCGGCTCCTGGTTCATTGGCCCAAAATCATGCAGCTGTCTTTCATGCATCAGATGGAACTGGAATTCACTGTCTTCTGGTGATTGGCCCAAATTCACCCAGTTGGCTCTCATGTCTAAGGCAGGACTAGAATTCACCATCTCCTGGTCTCTAGCTCAGCACCTTATCCACTAGGCCAGACTGCCTCTCATTTCCTTTTTGTCAGATGTCTGATTAACCTACTTTGCACTGACCAGCAGCGTGTAAAAAAAATCTCCAAATAAATGTTATATTTAAACAGATAAACAGTATCTCTAGCAAGTGGAAAATGGCTTCCGGGTTTTAGATTTCCAGTGAGAATGTTTAAGACTTTTGTAAAATTTTGTATGGAAGGATGATTGCATAATAAGGACCTTTT